TACAACAGTTTAATGCCACATTAAAGAAGTTTTTAAACATTAGGCATGACAGCCAAAACAAGGCCACCTTACTGATCCCGTAGAGATAGTTGGAAACAAGCTGAGGAACAAACTGCACACCTCCACTGGCTTCATCTGCTATTTCAGAACCAGCTTCTCTAATGTTCTACTCATCATGCTAAAAGTCAGTCTATGGCCACAAAGGATCCTGCAGTTACTCAGCTTCTCCCTTCCAGACCCAGCCCACAGTGGGTTTCTGGCTGCAGGCACTCGAGTGGGGCCTGGTTACATGACAGGACATTACAGTCAGGCCAGTGTCTGCTTAACAGCCCCTGTGAAGCCATTTCTCTTCTTTCCAGGAATGCAACCTGCTGAGGAAGGGCTCAGTTCTCCTGGCTGACAATGTCATTTTCCCAGGAGCTCCAGATTTCCTGACCTACGTCCGTGAGAGCCCCCATTTCCAGTGCACTAACTATCCATCCCATCTGGAATACATGCAAGTGGAAGATGCTATGGAAAAGGCTGTGTTTTTGGGATAAAGAGAGCCATTAATACTCAACCTTTGTTTCAAATGATGTAAATGCAGCTGCACAGGTTAACTTGTCCATGCTCTAATTTTTGGGGAGGGTTTTTTATTTACTTTTATTTTGAAGCCTGTAATTAAAGCAAGTGCTAGTGGAGATCTTTTTAGACTAGGTGGAACCAAGACTGGGAGTAAGCAGGGAAACTGCTCTGTGCCATTGTTCCACATAATTCAGCAAACCCAAGGTGATGCACATTGCCTTGCCTTGGCCAAGACATCATCTAACAGCAGAGTCTGTTATTTTGAGCTCAAAGCTGAACAACCACAGTTTGGGCTTAGGGCAAGGTGGAGAAATACACTGCAACTTCTGAAGACTTGTGTCCCCAAGCTGAACTCATTAATGGTTATCAAGAGTGGAAAAAAGCAGGCATGTTGCAAAAAATGACCATTTCAGGTGCCCTAATTTTGCTCAGTTACTATCATGCCACCTTAATGCAGTGAAGGCTCCTATGGTGATATCAGATACTTTTTTGCATATTTACTGCAAAAGTTAATCATCTCTATGTGAGAGAAAAGAGCACACACACTGAAAGATGAAAGACCCATGCAGTGATGAGAAAAACAAAACAGAATTTTGCAAAATACAAACAAATAAAATTATTAACCTGCCCATGGAGATGCAGGGAACACTGAAGTAGTAAACAGATTAAAATAAACACAGTAACAGACAGAGAACAAAAGGAGCAGACTCCTCCCAAAAGCATACAAAACTGTGTAATATTTGACCTTGAGAAAATGCTGTTTATCTGCTCATTATACTGTATATACATAGGATGTGATTTTTAGGGGCAGGGCAAGCTGCTTACTCTGAAGTGCTGTGTTATGTTTAAGGCACTGTATAAAAATAAAGCCAAGAGAGAATGGTTTCCCCAGGTGGGTCCTGGTTCACTCAGTGCTGTTAAACCTCGGGAACAGTGGGGGTTGTCATGGAGAAGATACAAACCCAAATCTGAAGTCTCCCACTCACCTGAACAAGGCACCAATCCAGTGGCAGTTCCCAGCACATCCTGCTGTGATTATATAATAAAGCAACGGTTGTATTTATAAATAAAAAATAAAAAACAATAGAGCAGGGACGTGACTTCCATTGTCTCCCAGGAATTCTGCACTACACTTGGGAATTCCAGCCTCAAAACAGCCACAGAAAGATCCAACAGTTGCAAATCAGAGTGAAAATCAGGGATAACCATTCTCATCTGTCCCAGAATGAATTCTTTCCGGCCTGTTAGGAGTTTCTTCCTTTCATAGCCCACCCTCCTGCAGTGGTACCTACTCTGGCCTGGGTGCTGCACAAAATCCACCTCCAGGACACCAGTGAGGAGCAGAGGATCACCACACAGTACAGAGGCAAACAGAAGATAATCATCCAGCCCATTTACTGGCATAGCCAGGTTTCTGGAGCACATGGGAAATCTGGAGACATCACTGACCAGAACATTTTTCTGTACACCTGAGGTCACAACCCCAAAGAATCCTCTCTCGTTTCTGGACTTAAACCCCTTTGCACTCCACAGACACTCCTGCCACTGCAGGGCACATCACCAGAGCCAGGAACAAACCAGCCTCAGGTACCTGCTGAGGGATGTGTAAGGCTAAGCAGGTGTTCTGCACTTTACAGGAGAGGATCAGAAAAGTACATTCCTACTGCTAGTTAGTGGCCAAAATTACTGTCCAAGAGACTGTCAAGCAGATTAGGGAAGATGGGAAACTGTAGAGATAGCATGGATACTGCAAAAGATGCACCAGTGAATAATGTGTGTAATAATGTGGCAAATATAACAGCCCCCTTTTAGTATAAAAAGGTATTTTAATTCATTAGAAAGAATCTCCCACATGGCTAACTGTAAAAACAAACACAGTGTGGTACTATCAGAATATTCACAGAATTCCATATGTAAGAAAAATTTTTCCACTTCACCACACTTTTGAAATGCTCTTAATTATTGGTGGCAAGGGATGAAAAGAAAAAAGCCTGACTCAGTTTGCATGACTGACAATTAGAAAAAAGGCTTTTGGTCAGTTGAGCAAATATGATCTGGAGTCACTGACACATAAATGTGAAATCTCCCAGGGATGAGAAGGACTTTTCAAAATAAGTCACGCTTTGAATGCTGGGAGAAGCAAAAGGCAGACAATGGATCTTCTAATTCAAATACATTCTAAGAAACTACTGTTACTGCAACATCATCTTACTACAGTTAGAAGACACAGCCTGTTCTTGCCCAAACCAGGTATGAAGTTGTGTGTCTGGAGCACGTGTTTAAGGAGTGCCCACTGAGAGATGAAGGCTCCCAAGGGAAAGAACTCCCCTAAAACAACACAGAGCTTTCAGGAAGTTCTCACAGCTCGTGGCACAAGTCAAAGGCAGCAACTCTCCTGCATCACAGCCCCCCTGCAGGCAATCCTTACCCCAACTGGCATCTGAGCAAACCCACGGGTTTGTACAGAGCTCCCGCCTCCTCCACCGGCTGAGGAGGTGAAGAGCAGCCCACTGGAGAGTCTGAGCCGTGAGCCAAACACTGAATACAGGGCAGAGAACACACAGAGACCTCCACAAGAGTAGCAGCAGAGCCCTGAGAGCCCAACTGTCCCCCCAAGGTGACAGCAGTGATGTGTCCTGCTGTGGCTGCAGTCAGTCAGGACTCAGTTCCAAGGGATCTTACACCACCCCTGGGATTGCTGTGCACGCACTGAGCACAGCACAGCAGTTTCAGTCTTTGCCCTTGTCCCTACACCTCAGTTAACAGCCACACTGCAAAACAACGTCCCGTTTAAAACATCTCCTCTGTCAGCTCCTACCAGGAGATTCTGCCATGGCTGTGCTTCAGCTGCTCAGGGACCTTCCCAGTGAGACACTGGGGAGGAGACCCTCGGGGACAGAATATTCCCCCAAGACACTGCTTAAACCTTAAACAGATGAGGGCTGTGATATTTCTTGCCCATTGTTACCAGGTTAACCTTTCACCTGCAGGACTCACTGCTTCTGTTTGCCCAACCTGTGAGGAGCTGGAAATGAAATCATTTTGACAGCTATAAAAGGTCAGTTGTAAAAACAGCATGTTTGTTTTAGCTCAGTACCTTACCTACAGCATCTGCTGTTCATTGCCTATTAGTGCAGCCACGAAGGAAACATCGATTCCTGCAGAAGAACCCTGACGGTACCGGGGAGCAGGATGGGCCCAGGAGCAGGATGCTGGGCCCAGGAGCAGGATGGGCCCAGGAGCAGGATGGGCCCAGGAGCAGGATGCTGAGCCCAGGAGCAGGATGGGCCCAGGAGCAGGATGCTGGGCCCAGGAGCAGGATGCTGAGCCCAGGAGCAGGATGCTGAGCCCAGGAGCAGGATGCTGAGCCCAGGAGCAGGATGCTGGGCCCAGGAGCCCACATCTTACCAGGGCACCAGGGAAACTCTATCCTCCAGCTGCAGGAACAGATCCAGAGAGCATTTTACAAAACTGCTGGGAATGCTTTGAAGACGTGCAACAAGGAGGGCATAATAAGGAAGGCAAGCTGGAGGCTCTTAACAGGAGCCTTTAGTGCTGTGAATGGTACAGGGAGGAATTCACTGATGGCAAACTCTGGTACTGGCAATGACTGATCAGCCTCTCACTCAGAGGAAACCCGACCTCCACTGTGCCTGCAAGGCCTGGCAGAACATCACCTGAGATTACTGCCCGTGCCAGGGCTCACGGACACACGGGGTACCTACGGGCTGTTTGGGGGCATCGGCCTCCCTGCTGACCTCACCAACACAATGAAGGTCTGCTGGTGCCTGGATATTGCTTTAAATACATGGGTGACTCTTCAGTATCAGGATTTTTTTCCATCCCACAGTAACAAATGTGAATTATTTGGTGCATCCCCAAAATAACAATTTCTCATGTCAACCAAACTTCATACATTGCTACAATCTGTTATTCTTACACACTTCTATTCATGAGAATACTTGCACACATTTCAGAAATGGGAAATCGTTGTAAAGTTTTATTTTATTAACAAGTTGGTGATTTTATTACCAAGTTGGACTTTATCACCAAATTGGGAAAGGTTAATAACTTCTCAAATGGAAAAGCTATCAACAAGTTAGGTTTGTGCTCACAAATGTGCTGGCCTTTGAACAGTGATGCAGATGTCTTTCCCACAGAAATATGCCTGTATATTAAAAAAAGAAAAAAAAATCCCACGATCTACAATCCAGGGTTGGGCTACAACTCCAGCATCTGGCAGCGAGTCAAAAATGTTCAGCTTTAGTCATTTAAAGGATATTTCCATTGCCCTCATTACCACTGACCTTTTGCTAACACAGAGCACTGACCTGAGCTAGGGTTGAATAATCCCCTGCCACAGAAAACTGCTGCTGCAAAGCCAAGGAATATTTGAGATACCTGAGGTAACAAAAAGATAACCAATGGCACATGTATTCTTTCCAGGCATGGTTTATTGAAAACACACCAAATTGTTATCCTACATACCTGGTTTCTAACAAGCATTCTACTTGTCTGCATTATGGAAAGATCCTATAATAATAATACATTCTGTCACGGTAACATTTGTTCTATGAAAAGCATAATCCACCTTTTTTTCCTCTTCATACTTGTAAAATCAAACCATTCTAGGTGTTTCAGTTTATAGTACAGTGTAAATACAATGCAAAATCCCACCAGTCTAAACTACAGAGAGAATGTTGAGCAGTATTACAGAAAACACATTGTTGATTTTTTTTTTTAATTCTCCTACCATGAAAATTTTAAGGCACATGATAGTTACAAACACATTAGCTACTAATTACCAGTAAGCTTCTTAGTCTAGTTATTTTGTTTCTCTGAACAGTAAGAACCAGATTGGCAGGCCTTGTTATATCCTCACTATCTTCCTCCTCACCTTGGACTTCACATCATCCTACCCTGATGTCAAACCTAAGACAGAAAACAAAGGTTCATAATACCTTCCCCTTAAATGCACTAAATTAGTTACTGTACCAGTAAATCAGAGAATTTCTCTGTCAAAGATAAGGAAACACCAGATTTTAGGGGCATCCAAACAAAGAAATTTTGCAGGAAACTACAGTTATATAAACACCTTCAAAAGCTGTGAGAGCACAGCTCCAGCCCAGCAGCACAGCCCGTGGCTGGAGGCACTGGCACTGGAGGTGTCACTGAGTGCCACACTGGGGGTGTCACTGAGTGTCACACTGGGGGTGTCACTGAGCACAAGGGGCTGTAACCACCCTTGTGTGCCCATGGGGCTCCTGAAGCTTGGCTTCCTCAAGGGTTTGCCATGTGCCTCTCACAGGGAGCTGAGCCTGTGCTCAACTTTAAGGCAGGTGGCAGAAGGGAACTCCCCACCTTCAGTCTCCTGAACTGCTCCAGGATGCAAACTGCCCTTCCCAGCACGAGCCTTTCGCTAGAAAGCATTGCTGGAACCTGCTCCTCAGGGCAGGCACGAACTGATGAGCCTGCTGCAGCAAACACACCACCCTGCTTTCTTCAGGTGTCCCTGACAGCCAGTCGGTTCTGGTCAGTCCCTTCTGGGACATCTTGGCAGCAGGGACAGGATTTGCTTTCCCAATGCTGGTGCCTTCGGAACCGGCAGGTCTGAGTGCACGGAGCAGGACTGGGACAGGCAGGTGGTGTGCCCAGAAGACACTGAAGGTTGGGACCTGTGGCTGCCCAAGCCGTTCTCTGGGGAGCATTTCAAGCTGACAACACATCTTGAGTTGCACTTATGGCTAATATGCTACTTAATTGCAAGACAGAAACAAACTGTCCTAAAGCCCTGGCTTTCCGCTCTCCTGCTCGGATTCTGCAGACGGACAGGCCGACCTGGGAAGCACAACTGCTCACACACCAACACCCAAACTAACTGGGTGCTTCTCCAGGGGAGTCAACACACGATTTTGGTTTCTTTAAACCTCCACAGCTTAACAAAGGTGCTTGTTCTGCAGTAATCACATGCCATCAGAAGTCTCCCTCCCCGTGTTATCTTGGCCCTGACTGGGCCATCCAATTTCCTCCTCCTCTTTAGCAGGAGCCTTGCAACACCATCACTTCCTTCCACACCCATCCCTCCCACTAGAATTTCACAGGTAGAAATCTCTTCTACCCCAGCCCTTTGCAGGCAGATTCCCTCCAGTTTTCACAGTGAAGCCAACAGGAAAAGAGGAGGTCACATCCATGAGCCCTAAAAATCACTGCCTGCCTTTTAGCAGGAGACTCCAGCCCCTACTGCAGCTTTAATCACACACATTGCCACGTTCCCTTCTTTACATACAGTCCCTGCTGCCAAAACACAACAATTACGGGTTCATCCACCCACAGCCCAGAACAGCTCCAACAGCCAGCCATGCCTGTGCCAACGAGGGCAGAGGGGAGGGCAGGGGTGGGCACACATCCCCCCAGGGAGCTTCTGGCCACAGACAGAATGGACACGGAATCCCCAGACCTGTTCCAGGTGCCCTGTGCCAGCCCTCAGCTGTGGGCAGTCTCACGTGCGAGTCACCCCCCAGCCTGTTTTCCTTCCTCAATATCCAAACAACAGTTTGTTGAGAAGAAAAAACCCCACAGTAATGTCGAGGATGGGTTATTGCTACATACTTGGGAATGAGCTGTCACTGTAAGGCATGGGAAGGGGAGGGGTTAGACGTGTGATTGCCAGGGGAAGCCCTGGCCCATCCACTTGGTATCTGACTCTGTGACACACCATCCTTTGCTTCTCTGCAGCCACAAACCACACTGTCAGCTCACGGGTCTGCTGGCTGCCATCACACTTACCCCAGGAAAACAAGGACTGTTTGCTCCAATGACCTGGGCAGCCAGTGCCATCCAACCTGGCAGGGAGGGTTGTCAGCACAGGGTGCAGTGTAAATACAAACCAGACTTTTGGGGGGAGTGGGATAGGGTCTGAATTTGCTTCTCAAACACTCCTCAGTGTTTTTAGCCCACTAATGACAGAGACTGAAGTAGATCCAATCCAGATTTTGAGTGTCCCTGTAGTGTGCCACTAAGAGCCATGGGATATCTGGGATAGGAGGTCATGACCATAACTGGCCCCAGTCACTTCACTTCCCCCTTCCTGTGGTTTTCTCTGTTAACCTCTTGCTGGCTTTGAAATATCTGTACAATAACTAAACCACAAAGTCTTAGCAGAGACTCCTTTCAACAGTCAGGTCTTTATTTGAAGTGAACTTTTGTTCAGACTCCTTTGGTAAATATATGGTTTGAAGTAGATCAGGGACAGACTGACAGCACGGCCCTTCTCTTACACTGTTCTAATCAGCTACAAAGCAGGTTCCATTGCTAATTACTGAACGTTTTTAAAAAAATCCTTTCATATACAAAAAGAATACACCAAGTACATAACCAAAAGTGATATAAAACTCTTCTGTGTAGCTTGGTTAAAAGGGTCTCCGCGTATTGGCAGAACAAGTATGAAAAGAGCACCATTGATAGAATATACAGTCAGACGATGGAGCTGGTCTCACTGCCACACTCATGTCTGCACAGAGAGACACTGCCTGACACAGACAGTCACAGACACTGCCTGACACAGGCAGTCAGACACAGACAGTCAGACACTGCCCGACACAGCCACAGCCCCTCCCTCTGCTGCCCCTCAGCCGCTGGGCAGCTCTGGCCCAGCAGGACTCTCATGCAGGTGAAAATACAGACTTTGCTCTCTTGATTTGCTCCAAGCAACTTCACCTTCCCCAGCCTCCAGGAGTGACCACTGCACACACGGGGCTCAAAAAGGGAGGGTGCGAAGGAGCACACGTGTCATCCAAATCACTGACAGCTTCTGGCATCAGTCTTTTCCCTGAATCAACAAATGCTTCCCTCTCCTGCAAACTACTTTACATGGTTTTGTTAACCTATCCTCTGCACAACAATATATATATATATAGATATATAGACTTTTTTATTTATTTATATATATGTATTCATGTCAAATTTTTAATATACTCAAGAAGATACAAAGCTCTTGGTACTTGCTTTTTTTTTAAAGTTTTTAAATCTTTTTTTACAAAAAAATGTAGATGTTTACTATTACAGTAATATTTTGGGGGAGGTGAGGTTGTTGGATATTTCCCCTTTTTAATTAGAAAAGAAACGGCAGGCACTGAAAACCGCAAATGATGTTTGCTGGACTCAAAAATGTGCTTTCCAGTCACACCGTTTTTAGGAGCTCGTTTAAAACTAAATGTGGCAATCAAAGAACAGTGGCAACCAAGTAAATTCAGCAAAAGTCCTCTCGTGCTACTGATGAGACATTTGCTTCCTGTTCTCATCTGCTGCCCTCCCTTGACCAATGCCTGGAGAAAATCGGTGATCTGAAGTTATTTAGTTCACCCATTTCCAGACCCTGCAAACACAGAGCACTTCTCTGGAGGTGAACGTCCCCCTGCACAGAGCAGGGGAGGAGAGCTGCTGCCCACAGGGGCATTTCAGGCCAAATCAAATATGCAATCCCAAAACAAAAGCAAAGGAACACAGAAACCATGATGATGATTTTAAAAATGCCAAACCAGTTCCCTTTGTGGCATTTTTCATGAGGATCTATAGCCCAAAGCAAACATGGATCCAACAGTGAAAAATTTACCATCAAACCTAAGTGACAGACCCATCTAAAATTTATAGCGTTTTCAAAATAAAACATCCTACAAAAAAGCTCTTATTCTCTTCCAATGTCGTAACAGCTATGGCAAAAGTAGTTGTTAATCACCATCAATGCAACAGTGGTACATTTAACATGGAAAAGCTCCTTATTGCAATCTTTGAGAATATGAAAATAAAAAGCCAGGCAACTTCATTTCTCAGCACAGATTTCTGAACCAGGGACACTGAAACCTTCCACAAACTGCTTTTCAATATGTGGAAATAAAAACAGAGACATTACAGAATTCAAAAGGCAGAAGTATTGTACACCAGATTATAATGACAATATAGCACTGTGATTGATATAGCTTACTCTAAAAGCAGATTATACAGCTTGCATCAATTCTGTCATCCACTCTCCAGTTCGTTTGACTACCGTTTAATAGTTTTTGTTCTGCATTTTCTCCCTTCACTGAAATCCAATAAACCCACTCAACATTCCTGCACTTTCTGTGGAAATAATAAAGAAAACCTGAACATTTTTCAAAAAAGCCTTCAAAAATGTTAAGAGTCACAGTTCAAAAGAAATCCCCCAAAACAAAAAACCCAAACCAAGGAGCCCCAAGCCAGGGAAGTGCTGTCATCCTCACGGTGCCCCTGCAGTGGCAGCTCCAGTGTCCCCAGCTCCTCTCTCACTGTGCCACCGCTCGACCTTCCCTGCTCAGTGTGGCACCGTCCCCACGCCAGAGTCACCCGGGGCTGCAGTGACAGGGACTTGGGCTCTCTGCTCTTGCTTTTCTTCTTGCAGGAGCAGGAGGAGGGAGGGGGAGGTGGTGGCTGTCCTGGTGGGGTGTAACCGAGTTCAAAGCAGGCTGTGGCTGTAAGGCAGGGTGCTCTGGGTGCTCCAGGGGCTCCGGGGCCATGGCAGGGTTCTCCCCACACCCTCCTGGAACCTGCAGAACCTGCAGCCTGCCAGTGATGCAGCGCCCTCGAGTCTGAATGGCAGTGGTGACTGATGAGATCCTCTGTGTCGATTCAATGTTTGCTTCTCCCCCTCAATTAAAAAAAATGTGGTTGGACTTTAGCCCTGCAAAGCAAAGTCAGAATTGGTTACTACCAGTCAGTGACATGGCCTTCGTGATCTCCATCACCTCGTGACAGGACAGTGGCTGCACGTGCCAACCTGTCCCCAGCACGGGGGTTCCTTGGAGGGTTTGTCTGGGAGAAAATGAGCACAGACTGTTTCTCAAAGGACCCTGGTGTAAGGCTCAGGGAGGAGTGCAGGAGTGGAGCAGGCACTGCTCACACACCCTGAGCTCAGCCCTCTGCCCCAGCCAGCACAGCCCAGCCTGCAGCACTGCCCAGCCAGGGGAGCCAATGGTGCAGGCTCTGCTCTGATCTGGAAGAGCACCTGCCCATGCTGGAAACCTGCTCTGGGCAGGGGCTTCCAACCCAGAACAGAAACAATGGCAAACACTCAGCATTTATACCAGACTGAGAAGGAGTAGGGAAAAAACATCCAATACCACCACCCAAAACCATCCAGGAGTTTTCTCTCCCACTAATGCAAGGGATTTCCATGTAGAATTATGGACAGATGATGGTTCATTTTTGGGATTTGGGCCTTTAAAGGTCTGTTGTCCACTCCGATGGGAAAGTTGCTCAGTGCCTTCCTGACAGTCAGTAAAATTTTCCTTTAGTCATAGCCAGGGGCACAACACCTGCTGTTCCAAACACAGCATCCTCTGCTGGAGTGCCAGGAGGGATCACCAGGGTAACTCTAGCAAGGCAGCAGGACACAGATTAGCAGTGGCAGGAGCGAAGAAAGGCCAGTGACATTACCAAGGAATTTGGCACGTGGCAAAGGCAGACAACCAGAAAGCGACACAAAGGCACCTTTCTTTAGTGACAGAAAAAAAAAAAAGAAATTGAGAAGTGGGAGCTGTGGGTCACTGCTTATTGTGTAACCAAAATTATCTCTCCTTGCAAAGTAACTTGTGTACAGTCAGCAGCTTTCCTGCAGATGGGCAGGGCTGTGGAATACATGGGAACCTCAGGGGACATCCAGAAATAGTCAAGGATATGCTTTTCCTTAAATCTCAGACTAATCCTTATAATGAGCATAGAGGGGGAAAAAATGATTGGAAACAGGAACACACCACTCAAATTCATTCCCATGGCCTAACAGCAGAAATATTTTACATTTCAGCTGACAACCAATCATTCACAATATTAATTTGCTGCCTGCTTATTTGACAGGTTATTTTTTAATCAAAGAGTGGTGTTTGATTGCATTTCATTAAAGATACACTGAATAATGTAAACACCACTTTTTTTTCCAAATGCATTTTCATTTATCTGAAAGCACCCAGTTAGCAGTTAGACTTGAAGAGATTCCACAGTGATACAGATCATGCACAGAGAAGTTAATCACTAGCCCCAATTACCATTAAAAGGACCTACCATGCATGCAAATTAGACCCAGGAGTCAACAGGCTGGGGTTTAATGTCACGGGCATCCACCAGATTCACCGAAGCCCTGTTACTCCTGTTAATGTTTTTCCTATTTGTGTCATTCTGCAGCACAGGGTGAGGAGTTAAAGCAAAACAGAGCGGATTAATCAAACAAAACCACCAAACAAGTCAGCTTCAAGTAGCACAAGGGAAAATTAGTGGTAGAGAAAGAAACAAGATCAGCAAAGGCACAGTACTGACAAAAGCATCTGCAACAGCCAAGAGGCTGCACTGCCCTGCAGTTGTTGCTCAGCATTCCCAGTCTCCCTGGAGCCTCGAGGCTGTCACAGCTCCCAGGGCCACAGGACCCCCAGGACAGCTCAGCCTCAGCACAGGGACAGGGACCAGCAGCAGCTGCTCAGCTCTGCCCAGGGGAGGGCAGGGCCCTGCACACCTTGGCTGTGCCCAGCAGTCTGAACTCAGGTCACCCTCAGGCCCCCAGAGCCAGGAGACAGCACACACTGGGGGTTATACACTCTCAAGGTGAAATGGTTTTTCTCTTTTTCTCAGAAAATCAAAGCAGCTACTCACTGAACTCTGAGTTTTGCTTCACTTCAGCCATACACTGGAGTTAGGGCTGCTTGGACCACTTTAATGAATTTTGAGTGGCAAAAATAACGAGTACTTGTTAATTTTCATGCCTTGGCCTATTTTCTTTAGAAAGACATTTTCTGCCAAGCTTCTGTTGACCAACATTCTTGTACCACTTCCTGCATCCATTCCTGCTGCATCCTTGCAAAACATCTTAGAACTGTGCTGAGGGACCTAGAAAGTTCACTTTGTTGATATTGGCTCAGGCACAGCCACCTCTTGCCAACTGGAGCAGGGGAGCAGAGTGCACAACTTGAGCAATCCAATGTGAGAAACGTCCAGCCAGGTCACAGCCATTCTCCAGGGTGTTCCCCAAGGAAAGGCAGGACACAGCAGGAAAGGCCTGACCAGGCAGGTTAACAGAGACAGGCTGCTGCAGCAGGACATCTTCCCAATTCACGATCTATGGAAATATTTTTCTCCAAACCACATTTTTATTGCCCTTGTTCAGTGATGGGGGTTTTCCTTTCAGCTGACTGAAGTGTAATTCTTTCTGCTCAAATCACCTGGATTTTCTGACATTATCAACAAGATGTTGAAGGTTATTAAGGACAGCCTTCTGCACAGTAACAACAGTGTTTCCTACCACTGCCTCTTGTTTCGATGAACCCTCCCCTTCCTTCCCAAAATTACTTCCCAGGGGAAACCCGAGCTGTTTTGAGGCCAGGGAGAACTGGTGGCCAAAGCATTAACAGACTTTTAAAAAGGCCACTGAAAAGGTACAACAATGCAACAGAAATTACACAGAGCCTGCTGAGCCACATTTGCACATAACCCACAATACAAAAAGCTGTGTGAAGTAAGATTTCTTTTTTAAATTAGAAAGTTGTCTAAATTTGGGTTTTAAAGGCACACACGTAACTGTGCATGTCTCTCCTTCCTCTCCATCTCCTTGGTCCATGCCCATAGTCCACCATCAGGACTGAATGAGTGCTGCAGAACTGAATGCTGCTCACCACACTGCTCACACTGCTGGACACGGACACACAAGATCACATCTACTTCTCGAGGTGGAAACAATAAAGCAGTGTGAGAGACTGAAGAGAACAAAGTCTGAGCACAGTTACACACTTTAGGGCCAGGGAATGCTGCCTGGACAAGGGTGACAGAACAAGCACTTTCTATTTTTACAAACTCATCCACTTACAAGAATACAGCAGTTGCCTGCATTTGCTCCTGCACCAGAAAGCAGCATTTTGTTTTTATTTCTAGTCAGCCAAGCACTGAATTACAAAATAATGCCTTTATGTGGAGAGGAAGAAAAATAGGAAATGCCCTTTGCAGCCCCCAGGTGAGTAACTAGCACGTGTTCCTCGCTGAGGGCACCAGCCCCCCTTCCCCTCAGAGGCACTGGGAGCACTGGGCAGGGAGAGCAGCTCACTTTTAAAGGTTCCTTCTCCGAGGCATCGCCCGAGGGGTCGCTGCTCTTGTACTTGCGCTCCTTGTCGCGGTGGTCGATGGTGGAGTATCCATCTGGGGAGAGAACAGCACAGTCAGGCAGCAGCACAGTCAGGCAGGAGCACCCACAGCAGCACAGTCAGGCAGCAGCACCCACAGCAGCACAGCCAGTGCTGATGTGGGCACAGTCCTGCAGCAGAGGAACAGGAAACCAAACCATCCCACCCCGCCGATGCCGGCAGCCTGCGGCTCACGGGCTCCAGCTCTGGAACTTCACTGTTACAGCTAAAAACAAAACAGAAGAGCCCTTTTTTATAGCACTGTCAGATGCTGGCACTCATTAGCAAGCAGCACTGTTTTCATCCCAGCCTGCTGCACTTTTTAGTGTGCCCAAGGAAAGCAGTGAGTTGTCATCTCATGCCCTGTGGCTAATGAGCTCCAAATTCAACCCAAATCCTGAGTTCCTTGCTTAGCAGCCTGATTAATTGGCTGTGTTCATTCTCTGAATGCTCTGCAGCACATTCCCACTCTTCCTGAGCCTGACTGCTGGCAGGACATGACGATAATTTGGAAGAGTCCTCATAAGAGCACTGAGAGAAAGGGCCTGTCGAGTTGGAGGAAATGTCGCTGCAAACCCTGCTGTACCTGGGCTCACTTTCATTACCAAGGAGCACCTGTTGGTGCCTCTTCTCTTGACAACTAAGGAAGAGCATGAAAGCTTGATGAACACAAGGAATAAAAGTGTGAGAGGGTTTTATGAAGAAATGGCTCTAATTATTTCAGAACCTTTCCTTTGAATCACTGTCAGCCAATGCAAAACTTAATTTATTTTCATGATGCATCAGATTTCCCTCATTATCAGTGACAAATAGATCCTTGCCTGCTCTGCTTTGACAGCATTGTAATCTGGAGTAAATGACATCCAAATTTATAGCTCCCTATAGGCTTTTGTTTTCCCCTATGTAATTGAGGGATCATTAATGTTTTCCTATCCTGACAAACTGGGTTTTTAGAACACCACAAAAAGGTTTTACATGAACTATCAAAACACTCCCCTGTCTGTTTATTACTTGCCTGCAACAGGCCATTAAGAAAAAAATGAGTGATGTGTTTGTGGGGTTCCTGTGGCATAAAGAGGCACCGTTTGCCCACATGACACCTGCACACACAGCCAGTGACTGGCACCAGAGCCCATCCCAGAGCTGCCCATGGCCAGGTCAGACTGAAAGAGCTGCAGTCTGTGCACACAGACCTGCAGCAAGCACCTCAGGCACCAAATATTTATGACATCCCGGGCAGTAACAGATTATTTAACCTCACTGCCTAAAAATAACTAAAGCATTCTGGAGTTATTCATGTAGCACATAGACACAAAGCATGAAAACAGTTGTTACACAACACTTGACTTACAATTACTTGTTGACAATGAAGATGCCTGACATTCTTGGCTAATCCTTTTGAACAAAAAGAAAAAAAACAGCTGCACACCCAGCTACCCAGTCAGGGCTTGCAGGGGAATGTGTGAGCAACAATTCTCTTTCAGATGACAGGCATGGAACACTGCTAGTAAGCCATGGCCTAATCTAAGGATTCATCATTTATTTAGGACTAAATAGGTCACATAGGTATGTATTAAATGATGGAAACATGGTGACTGCCCCAAAGAACCAAACTTGCAGCAACTGAGTGGCAGCTTCTCACAACCCAACATTATTTGCAGTCTCAAGGATGTACTGGATCACTTTGCATTTTTGTCGTGCCATTATCATGGGTGATCCAAAAGGAGTTGCCAAGATACAAAGGAACATTCAACCTTCCCCCAGAAAGCAACAGCCACCAAGTGAAGGATGGCAGCTGTGATACTCCCAGGGAGCAAGGTCATTAGTAGAGACTGCAACCACACAGAACTGAGAGCACAACAGATCTTTAATACTACTAAAAAATTAAACCCCCATGCTCAGCCAGGACACAGCAGCAAGAGGAAGATCCAGCTCTGGCACAGTGGCAGTAATCTAACAACTAAGAGGGCCAAGAACTTTGCTGTTGGTGTCCAAGTTCCAGCAGGTTTTGCAATCCCTCCTGCTGTGTGTGGTCTGTGAGCACAGCAGCACGAGTGGGGTGCTTCCAAAATCCACACACTGTGCTGTGACCCTGCCAAGACAAGCAGCAACAGACAGGCACTTCATGATTTGATCTGATAAAATGAGAAATATCTTGAAGGAGATTGCATCAGAGAAGTAACACCTCACTGCCCCAAGGACCAAAGCTCTGCAAAGAAATTAGAAATACTGCTTTTCCCATGTTTCAGATTCATTCTAAGAAGCCATCAGAATTAACTGTTTCTGTGGCACATGGAAGATCTCTACAGAGCTTGCTGCTGCACAGCAGAAGTGCTCACTCTAGAGTGCAAAAAGAACAAAACCTCCAGAATACAACAGTCCACAACAAAGTTATAGTCAGAAAATATAGTCTAGAGCAGCTCCTTACGTTAGTATGCCCATAAGACAAAAACCACTAAGCATTTGGAAGAGCCTGAAGGGAAGAGATGAAATACTAAGTTGCTATTCCAGTTCCCTGGAATTAAGGATAGGAAACTGGAGAAACTGATTTAGTCTCTTCTCAGCTGAGCTCAGAAATAGCACAGGGTTAAGAGTCAGTCACTCAAGAGCTGCAGTCATGAAAACCTGACAGATATCACCTCCTAAAGGTGATAAGATTGGAGAGCAGAATGGCCCAGAGAACCTGCCTGATGCTGTGCATATGCTGGTAATCTGCATTTGGTTTTGCACTCAGAGCTGTACCAGGAACTCATGACAGCACAAGGTAACAATTAATACTGAGACTACAACAATGAGCACTGCCCAGACTGCTGCAGCTGCCAGCACAGCCACCCTGCCAGGCAATCCTCTCGGAAGGTGTTTTCTTCCATTGTGGGAACAAATGTTTCAGTGTTCCCTTAGGCAAAATACAAATGGACAGTTGATTCCTGGCAGGTGGCATCTCATTTTTCTAAGAATACAAAAGGTAATAATATACCTGTTATTTTGCTTCCTGAACGTGCTTGGCTTTCAGCTTGGTTCTAACTTCCTATTTTATTCAGCTACAATCACAAATAGCAGTATAATATCAAGCTGTTTCATCTGGAGGCATTAATATAGGTATATTTAAATAAAAATAAAGTCAATTGGAAGAAATAAAGCAAATTCTTGAGAGACCATATAGCACCTTTATCTACCTTGGTAAAGAAAAAACTCCTCCCAGTCTTACACTACAGAGCTTATCAATCTCAAAGCACATCAGTGCCAGTCAGCAGCTGAGCTCAGCCTAAAGGAAAAGCCAGGCTCAGCTGGGTGCAGGTCAATGAAAAGTGGAGCCAGGAGTATCACACATACTAACTTGTCTTGGGTATTACCTACAAAGCAAAGGCAGAAGAGATTTAAACACAAAAAACACCCTGAGGTAAATTCACAACTCTTTTTTTTCCTTTCTGAATCCCCAGACTTGCAGATCTGTAACAGGGAATGCAGCTGCCTCAAGGGCCAGAGACCAGAATGAAAGGTGGGTTGCTGTGTCTCCAATATATATGCACAAAGGAGTGCAGAAATTGGTGGGTACACTCTACATGTGTACAAAGAAAAAAAAGACAACAACCAATCTTTTGTGAGGTAATGTTCTGTTTTTAAATGTCAGCTTTATCCACCTGAAATAATATCTCCTAGAGAAATAGCTGAACTTTCCTGTGAGTGACAGTGTGCTCTATTGGAACAGACAGAGTTTGATTTATGAGTGAGTTTACCTGGGCCGAGCTCATCCATAGGTATCATATCCCGGCTCCCAGACTTCTCATTATCTGTAACACAGAAACAGTGAAACCACCTGAGTTACATTTGCTTTGCTCAAAACCTGGTACTTCTGAATTAGTCACAGAACCAGAGAGGTCCATGAAATACTGAACACAGAGATTATTGTAAAAAACTCCCCACCAATTCAACTGTTATCCATTCAGAAAGGGAAGTCTGATTGAAGTTCTCCAGAGGGCACATGTAATCCTTGTATCTTCTGCTTTAGCACTGTAATACAGAACTCTCTCCCTCCAAGTGACAACAGAAACCACAATTCTGCTCTGGACCACCTACCACTATTAACAAGCTTCTCCCTGGTCTCTCCAGAACAGAAGAGAAAGCAAATAAGGAAGGTGCAGCTTCTCAGGGCACACAGCCCAAGCCAGCAGCCTGCTGAGCCAGCAGAAAGCTAATCCACAAAGAGAACCACAAGTTTCTTGTCACATCAGCAAACTGACCCAATCATCCTTCATCTGCATAATCTTCCAGGTCTGATCAAAGACAGGGAAGGTGGAGAGAGGCAGGCAGTGTGGGGCTGTCATTTCTGCAGCAACCTGCAGTTAAACCAGATAAAGGGCACCACGAAAAACCTGCTGTGAGAAACCAGAACCAGCCCAGGGCAGAGCAACCCCACCGAAACCAAAGCTGGAGCTACACCAGAGTTGCATGGAAAGCACAGCCCGGTTTAGCTGGAGCTGGGATTAACTCACCTCCCACAGAACCCCCTGCACATCAGAGGAAGGAGCTGTGCCAGAACAGGAATGCTTGTTCAGAAAGGAACAGACTCCAGGACTGAGCAGGGGGAAGGTCAAGCCCATTCCCGGGGAGATTTAACTGATTATGTTGCATAAAGTTGAGAAAACACTACCAATAATGTAATTCCATAAGGGAAGGAATATCATCCATATGCAGGTAATAAGGACTGACCATTTGGGGACTGTGGGCTAAAATCACCACAAATGATGCATTTTTACCCCCTCATGCTGCAACACAGTTTTAGCAAATCCAGAAAACAAGAAAGCAAAGCAGTGCAGAACTTGGGCTAAAGAGCAGAACTGACCTTGACTCTTCTCCACCAGAGGCAGGGTGCTGTCATCATAGCCAGACCTGCCAGCAGGACCCTTGGAGCCCTTCGGAGCCGCCGACACGGACTAGAGACAAAACCCACGTGAACACAGAACTGCTACTCAGGGAAATGCAACAAGAAAAATAAACAAACCAACACTATGGAGAGAGATTATGGATGCTGCTAAGCATCCCCCCTGCTGTTGATAATATGGCACTTGAGTATTTTTCTATTTTCATATAGATTTGCTGGTGGAATTTCTTCCTGTTATCTAAATGGCAGCCCTGTTGCTCTGTAAAAGGAGCAAAACCTTTCCACAAGGAAAGATGAAGAGGCTGCAGGTCAAGCCCAGCCCTGTGCTGCTACAGGGAATGTTTCAGAAGAGACACAACTAAGATGAGACATGCTAATTCTTCCTCCAGTAAAACTGGGGCATTTGGCCTGTAAGAGGTGTCAAACTTCCCAAACCTGAGGGCTCCATTCCCCAGAGCACAGAAGAGCCCAGCCAGCAGGTATCTGCATGATGGTGTGACTGAGTGGAACACAATCCACTGTGCTATCACCTAGAGGTGAAGGCTACCATCTATCACACTGCAATCCTACACTGAACTAGGACACCTTCCACTCAGGCATTTCCAACACCAACCCAAGATCCAGCACCTTTACCTGGAAGTGTGACTTGTTCCACCCATCCTTCTGAAGGGCATTTCGTAGCTCTTTATAGCTCCAGATCATCTGAAGAATGTGAGATGCTGCTTTTGTTTCTCTGGGAGATTGGCTGCTTTGCAAGATAAAACCAGAGCTTAAGTGCCAAGCAATGTCAGACTATTCCTATGCTGATATCCAGAACTCCACACAGCTACCGACTGAACCTGTGAGTTATGGTATGTCTGTGACTTCTTCATACCTAGAGCTATTTGCTGACAAAAACAGAAATCAAAAAGTTGCAAACTGTGCACATTTTTGGGGTTTCACACGTACTGCTGGACAAGCACTGAGGCCAGGGTGACCCTTTTCTCTTGTAGCTATCATCAACAAAAACCAGATTCCATCCTGCCTGGATTTATTCAGGAAAAAAACCCCAACCCAAAAAAAAAAAAAAAAAGTTCTGTGCCACTTTTCAAACCTTCCCCCAACGTATCTATATCCCTCACAATTCAGTGAAGTTGCTCCATGGTTTTAGAATAGCTTACAAAATAATTCAAGTCAGCAAAAAAAATAAGCTGTTTTTAAACAGAAGATGAATTTTTATCCATTCCCTACTAGGTCAATACACAAGCACCCTCTATAAAATAAAAGAGGCCTAGATTTTTGGTCAGCTCTTGTATTTCATAACAATACAACCCAACAAAGCCACTTCAGCTTCTCTCCCAAAAGTTTGCTGAAAACACACCTACAATGTGTAACTGGCCGAGCCACACAACACAAAGTCTCTGAAGCAGCCACAACACAGGTCTGCAACAGAACTGCAGAGGAAAAACTGGTCACTTCAGGTGACCAGCACCAGCCCTTTGGCCAGAACAGTTACTGCACATCAGTAACCATTTCACTTGACAGACACAGATTTCCTCCCTGGCATTTCAGGAATGGAACAGTGCCACAGGAAAAGGCCTCCCACACTGAAACCAAGACCATGGTTTCACTCCAAATGCTGTCTAAGGGCAGACGTGGTGCCAAGATGTCTCTGACAAGGAGAGAGCACGTCCTGATGTGACTGAAGGGACTACTCAACCAACCTTCATCAAGTAACCCTATGAAAGGTGCTGGCTTTCTACTCTGTAGGTATTAGCTGCTGAAATCAGGGCTCCCAAAGGTCAGGATGCTCCAGCACCTCACAAACCAAAAGCTGCTGTTCATGGAGACATATTCAGGTTTGCAGGGAGTTCTCGTGCATTCTGCTGTCACTCACCTGGACTTGCTGATGGCCACCAGCTTCTGAATGCCCTGGGTCTGGATCAGAGACCGCGCGTTTTCGGAGCTGTCAGTAATGATTTCATGGATGGTGTTCAACACTGCAACCACTGTATCCTCCTCCAGGTTCTTTGCAGATCTCTGCTGCCTGCTGGGCAAATTTCTTACCAGCTCACCCATGGCATAACTACCTAGATGGGGGAAGAGATACCATTAGGCAGCCCTAATAATGAATTCAGCTTCCCATCCTGAATGATAGAACTCAAGGGCATTTGACATGCCAAGAAAAACTTAATAGTGCACGTGTTTTGAACCTCAAGACTGTAACTTCACGGGGCATTTATCATTCCTTGTTTCAAGGAGATTGAGAGTTGATACCCAAGACAAAGTCCTTCATCATAAATGCTAAAAAGTATTGAGAGGGGAAGAAAAAGCAATCTTTATTGAGAATTTTACAGCCAGCATCTATCACATTTTGCAAAGCCTGAGGAAAAAAAGCATCCAGTAGCTGCTGCCAATGCCACATATTCATGCTAATACACAGACATGGCTTACTCAACTCAGCCTTCTAAGAGGCCTTCTGGGGCAAGGTGTGCAGTCATGCATTTATTAACCTTCTCCCAACAAGGGTGAGAGTATTTCCTCCTGGGTGCAGTCAGCCTTCTCCATGTACAGGACTGGAGAAAAACCAGGGAGGTTGAACTTTATCCCTCCCAGGTGTCCATCTGTGCCACTGGTCTGGCTGCACCTCTGAACTATTAAAAAGAGAACCTGATGTATTTAGGCAGAATCCCAGCTTGCTATTTATTTGCTGGTATCAACTTCCATGGTGGCCCTAAACACATCACCAATATTTCCTGGCCTGACAAGGTTAGAGTTTAAACAGATATATCTGTTAAATACAGAGGCATCTAAGGGAAAACTTGAGTGAATCTTTGAAGATTCCTGCTTAGGGCAGGTGAATGCTTATTTGCCACCTTGGACAGGAGCTAGAGCACTGTTAACACTAACTTGAAGAATATCAAGTTGCTTGGTGTCCAGTTGCTGCAAGTACCACCACACAAAAAGATGAGAAAGGAAGGAGGAAGCAAAAAAACCAAAGATACAACTTCAGAGCTCACTGCACTTCCCCAGGTTTGCTCAATGTGCCACTGGCCACACTCCCACTACATCTCTGTGACCATCACGTGTGACCAGGAGCACCAGTGCCATGTCAGCCAGGGCTAAGGAAGAGACAAGAAACCTCTTAACCCACCCAATCCTCTGCACATCTCCACACACTCCTCCTGCCAAAGTCTACATCTGGTTTTACTCCCGGGTTAGAAACTTCCCTCAAACCCCAGCTTGTCTGAGCGGGCTGTGAATACACCCTGAGCTGACAGCCCCCCCTCAGTGGCTGCAGGACAGCATGGGTGGGAACTGCACACAGGAGGAGTCCCCAGCACGGGGGACAGAGCACGGGGGGCCCCCCAAGGGTCTGGCTGTAAAGTTCAGAGGGTACCTATGAGATCTTTGTTGCGTCGGTCCATGGACAGGTTCCTCAGGGCGATGGACACGGCCCTCACCACCTTGTCCGAGTCGGACTGCAGCAGCTCCACCAGCACGGGCAGCCCCCGCTCCTTGCGCACCGTGGCTCGGATGTAGGTGGACCACTGCCAGCACAACAGGGAGAGAGCACACTGTCAGTGCAGCCCTGCCCTGCCCTCCTGCCCGTGCTGCAACAGACCAGCTCTGCTGTGTGTGCTGGTGCACTGCACTGGCTAACCCATCATTCGAGTTCATCAGGCACCAGGGAAGAAAGGAGGCAGAAGTTCATCCTGCAGTGAGGAAGCTGCTGGGGAGAGGGGACAGAAATGGGCAGAAGGAGGGTCATCCATCAGCAGCTGTTCTGTACCTACCCCAGTGGGAAAACAACCCTCTGGATCAGGAAAAAAAAGAGGTCATTTGGAAGAAAGAGTAAAGCATCTAAAGCATCTGTTATCTTCCTCCTCCTCCTATTTCATGCCTTTATTCTGTTTCATGAATGACTTTAGACTAAGCTGGATTCCAGAAAGCTGTGAAACACCATCCTGCTGACCCTCAGGCCACTGATGAGTCCCCCTGAGCCATGTGATTTTAGAAATGACCAGGCCAACCTTTGGGAGAACTGCCTGATCAGTGCTGGGGATGCTTCAGAGAGGATATCAAAGGACACTGGGAGTGCAGCTTCCTAAGCAATCTGACAAGCCAACAAATTAAGTATTCAGGACAATTATCTAGCACCAAGGTTTTCTGAGTGGACAAAGTAATGGTTAAGTGGCTTAAGTAGTAAAACTTGTTCATGGTTAACTGTCATGAGCTCAGTGACACTTCCAGTATGTAAACCATCTGTCCAGAAGATGGAAAACATCTTTAGTGAGCAAATGGAAATAAATTCTTTGGCTTTCCCACCTCCCTCTTTTTAAAGGAGATGCAAATATACCAGTGCCCTTACAGGGACATTGCTTTGTTCTTTACTCACAGAAAGGAAACCACGAGACTGCAGAGAAGGCTGCACTCACCGTCCAGTTGCCAGCACTGAGATTCTGCAAAGCTCCTGCTGCAGCTTCCAGAGTGTTGAAGTTCTGACTTTCAGTGAGGATGGAGAGGTACAGTCGGACCACGTCTGGCTGGTACAGTAACTCAAAGCCTGCAGGGGGGGAGAGGAGAACAGAAGCAAGAGGAGCAGAGAAGACAATGTATGAACAAGCACAGAGCATACCTGAATTTAACCACATAAGAGAACAGCCAAGAGGAAGCTGCTGCCCCACAGGAAGAAGGGCTTCTACCACATCCAGGACATTCCATCCACAGCTGTGGAAAACAGCAGAGACAGGAACTCCTGCAGAGAACGTTCCCATGGGCTGCAGGGCCCTTTGCTTGTCTTCAGGCTGACAATTCTCTCTGAAATCTGTGCTATCTACACACTGCCTAGCATGCATATAATGACAAGGTGACAAGAGACAAGTTTTGCCTGCAACAATTCCTACTGCATCTCCAGACTGGGCTGCAAATTCACCCTGCACTCCTGTTTTCATTCAAATCTCTCTCCCTACCTTTGGAGACACAAACAGCAGGGCCAAGGAGAACAAGCTACACCATCCTATCAGCCACCCCCTCTGCACACAGGGGACAAAGACAGAGGCAAGATGTCCAAGTGACTAGAACCCCCAGCTGGGAGGGGCAAGGAGAGACACTGATTCCAGCTCAAATATTCAGTAAAGAAATGCTCTGGCACTGTACCACACTGGGAGCTGAGACAGACACACCTGTCACCTGCCTGTCCCAGAGTCACTGTATCAGCTCTGCAGTTAAGCATGACAGCAATGAGAGCTATCCCCAGCCTGGGCACCCATTTCCTTTGTGATGCTCAGTGACTGACAGGAGCATCCGTGCCCTGACTTCCTCATCCACAGGATTAGGACTTGCCCATCCACCCACATTAAAAAAGGGGTGGTTAGACAATAACTTCATAATTCCAAGTTGCTGCATAATGTGAAGCAATTTTTATCCATCTTTCTCCACCAAGTGCAGCATGAGACACTGCATCAGAGAGGGCAGAGCATGCCAAGCACCCTGTTAAAGGATGGCCACACTGGGTGCTGTTTGGAGTGTGTGAACAAAAAGCTGACCCCCCCAAAGTGTTTTGGTGAGGGCAGGAAGGCACAAGCAACTGTGGTCAACACAGCCTCATGTCCAGGCACTGTGGGGGGTTTGGTGGCTGTTGGGCTGTTTGCACTGAGTAAGGTTCAGCAGGCATTACCTAGGGAAGGATTTCAAGAAAAACATGACATCAAAGAAAGCATAAAGGTGTGAAGGAACTTGGGCAAAGAGGGAATCTGAAGCTTGTTTTGAGCAGAAAAATTTTTTGATTATTATTTGTACACATGAAAAGGATGTTTTTCACCTCCCTAGATGCTGTCCTAGAAGTGGAACATAATTCAAAGCAAGTTTTCCACTAGGAAGACAGAAAACCTACAAACACAAATCACTTCCTCTCTTCAGTACCTGCTTTTCAAAAATCACCCATCTCTCATATACATATTTTTCAGCATGTATCACAGATTATCATATTTTAGACATCTCAGATCAAACCTACAAGCAAGAAAACTAAGCAGTGCTATCCCATCCTGTGGATATTCTATCATTTTTTTCCTTTTTAAAATTCTCTTTTGGTAAAGGCTTTATGAAATTAAAGCCTTGGTTTTAAATCTGCTTCTCCACATTCTTCATAGCAGTTACTGCTGTGGGGCTATGTGAGTCAAGGTCTCAGAACTCAGCACTACTTTAAACCTTGTACAACACCACCCATGAACACAGGTTGTGTCAAACCCTGGGAATACAGGGGGTGCTTATCCCACTGAAAATAAGAAAACACACTTAATTAGCCAAGGGTTTCTTTGCTCCATACCAAAAAACTGATGTAGGTATGAGGATCCACAAGGTGCCGTGTGCTGGCTCCTGCTTTCTGTGCTCAGGCTCTCACACCCAGCCCAGCATCCTGCACCCTCCTCCAGTGACTGCAGAGTGAACCTGCTCCAGGGCTGGGACTGCTGGGACTGCCACAGCTTGTGTGCCACACACCACACCCCACAGATATGTGCAACTGCAACAGGTGGCAATCCCAAAGGCATCCTGCCAAGCCACACCACCGACCTGCCTCTTCTCCAGTGTCCTCTCCCTGCACTGGGATCACTGCCCTCTATACTGAATGCAGAGGAAAAACTGTCGTTACTTAATCCATGAGGCATGAGCAGCTGCACAGCTTTTCTCCATTCCTCGAGTAAGGCTGTGATTATCTGACTCCACTACAACCTTCATATCACCTTTTTCCCCTGCCACTTCACAAGGTGAATTGGCAATCCAAGAACTCCTCAAGAAAAAACACTGCTGATAAGCACACAGTGTTCCTTTCCTGAACACTGACACTTCAAACCTCTTAGGACAGCCTGCTGGAATTTTGACACTGTTATCTTTTAGGGAAGCTTTGCTGAAACATAAATCAGATCAGCAGAAGAGATGAGAAGGCAGGTTCATTAACAGATGATGTTCATACAGAACATTTGCTGCTCCTGTATGTGAGCTCAGACCCGCCTGTGGTTCCCCAGGATGCAATTGTTCAGCCAGCCTGTTTTACAGTGCCCACCTACAACTTGGCACAGCCCCACATGTTCACCCCGTGTTGTTACCTAAATGCAGGCTGTGATGGGCCCTTTCTGTCAGTCTGCACATTCTTTTTGGCTGGACACTCTTCCCTCTTCAGCACCTCCTGTGTGTGAACACCAGGATGCTCCAACCCTCTCACCTCTGCCTCCCTCCCACGGTCACAGCTGCATTCCAGTCACGCCTCCCCTGCTCCCTGTCATTACCTCTCTCCATGCATGAAAGCCTCTCCTTTTTCCTACTTACTAATGTAAGAGCATCTCAAAAATGCCTTCACCTTCTCACTAATGCACAGCATTTGCTCTGCCAACTACCAGTACCTTCCTGCTTTGGGGCACAGCTCAGCCAGCTGGTGGATGATTCCCACCTCACTCCACACATCCTCCTTTCCAACCATATTTATGCCTCTGACCTGTTGGCATCTCTTTTAAACGGAGTCAGCAAGGGCTACACACCACAGAGGGACCTCCAGCCTCCCTCCTGTCTCCCCTGCTCCCCTCACTGCTGCATCTCCCAGCACTGCAGCACTTTTGTCAGCCTGGCTCTGCCAGAGAAAGGCAGCAGGATTTGCTACAGCCAAGTCTGAAGAATGTCCCTCATGGATGCTGCTCATTAGCAGGGATGAGAACCTAATAGTGAGCAAGTTACTGCTGCACTGGAGGGTTTCCCCTCATTGACAGCAACCTGACACTTCTCATAAGCATTATAGTGCCTTAAAAAGAAACAAACAAGTTTCATATTTTCTCCATCTGCTTCCTGTCCTAATGAATCCAGCTCTGCTATTTATAGGATGCAATTTGTCTGAATTATTGTAAATTTCCTTCCAGTGTTGCAGGGAGGCCTCTAACATTTTTCCACGAAGCGTTTCAAGCACGCTCCTGGAAGCACAGCTGGTCTCACCTCCATTAAGCACCTGCTTCTCTTCAAAACTGATTTCCTTAATTTCAAGATCATCTTAATTATTTTTTCAGGTAATGCTACTTTTATGCAATATATGGCTAACTGCCTATATCCATTTTTTTTAATGAAAATGAGGAAAGAGGGTCCTTAGTGATAGATAATACATCAAATGACAACAACATCCACTGTTTTTCTTGGTCTTTAAAAAGCTGTTTTAATCACAGTCCAGACTCAGCACTGCCCTTAAAGAGATAATTTCCCTCGAATAAATGAAACTTTTCCATCAGTTATGGATTTGTGCTGAGTTGGAATCTACACTGTCTCCTCCTGGAAAAGCACAGAGATAAGTCATTTATTGCTTTTTTTTTCACTGCAGAGTAAACAAGTTCCCTGTGTCAGCTTTTGCCTTTCAGAGACACACCTGGAACACTGATGGCACTGTGAGCAGGGTCTGAGCATCCCCCAGCGACCACAGCCCTGTCACAGAGGAACAGCTTCCACTGAGACTCACCTCCACCAGTCCCACCTTTCTGAGAAAAAGGAAGATGAGCTTCTTCACAGCAGAGTTGCTAAAAACTGGCCAATGGATTAGTTCTGTGTGAGGCTCCACTACCAGGAGGTGGCACGTGGATTATCCTCCACTTGCCCACAGAACAGTGACAGCACAGACAGCAGTGTCAGTCCTGAAAACACCTGAGGAATGAGCTGGGGCTGATTAGCCATCTCCATCCCTTCAACCCTCAGTCCCTGTGATGAGAATGATGCAGCAGTTCTGGATTATCTTCTCCACAAAACTATTTGCTTTCATCCTGGCAATGCTGATCCTGTGCCTGTCCTCAGCTCCACTCTGGCAAGAACACAGGACACTGCACCAGGTGCCCATCCCTGATACACCTGCTTGAGCCCAACTTCAGACAACTCCCCCTGGAGCAAGGCTGCTAAATCTATCCCCCTTCACCACCCATTCCATTTAGGATTTATTCCCCTCCTACAGGCACAGGAAATTACACACACATGTACACTGGTCAGATGAGAGATCTGCTGCAGCAGAAACAGGCTGCTTCCTTTCCTATACAAACCCCCTGGGCTGCTGTGTAAAACAGTGGCAAATTTCATAAGAAGCTGGAAGGATGCTGACAACACTGCAGGGAAACAACAATGTCTAATCCTAGGGGGAAGAAAAACCAAACCAACACTTAAGTGAACCCTGGCAGCAACTCATGCTTGCAGTGGGCACAGGCAGGTGCCCACCAGTGGTTTGATTCTCACTTACTGCACTCGGGTCCCCAACGCAGAGAGGGTGCAGCACCACCCGGACTCCTTTTGGGATGCCACCACAGCCAGAGGTGCCCTCCGTGCCCCAGCCCCGAGGGGAGGGCAGGCCGGGCAGCTCAGGGGCTGCTGTGCTGGGCAATCCCAGCGGCGGCAGCGACCGGCAGATGGAGCGAGAGGAGCCCGGAACGCGCCTTGCCCGCAAGGTCACTACTAACAGACTTTGCAGAGTAAAGAAAGCAGCTCCCTCAGCAACCAGGAAGCTGTGAGCCAAAAGAAAAAAAAGAGAAAAAAAAAAAAAAGTAAAGAATCACG